GGGAAAGAGCTGGCAAAAAGAGGCAGGCAACTGCACGAGGGGGTGACGTGTGCCGGCGTTGGTCTGGTAGGAGCTGTAAAGGTCGGTATCAATAATACCGAGTACCCTCGGCTGGCTGCTTGATTCACTACAGGGTTCAGTGGGCTGTGGCACATGGCGCCTTTCTTTAGTTGTTGAAAACCAGCAAGTTCATGCCAGAAAGAAATACCACCAGTATTTTATTTCAGGAGATTCACTCTTCAGCCAAAAATAAGGTTCAATTCTTACAGGGGAAAAAAAAAGACTCTGGAATATTTTTAATGAACTCTTATTTGGGAAATAAGAATGTTTGGATTTAACATCCTGAGCGCCTTCAGACCTACTTCCCATCATCTCAGCGACATGCCAAATGGCAGACGTAGAGCGCTGGGCACCTGGTGCAAGCATTGCAAGCACAAAGATGCTTGGTGGGGCCATGACAGCATGACTGCTTCCTCACTCGGGGCTTACAATGTTGGATTTTAGCATCTCCTGCCCTCCTACAGTTGTGTGACAAGAGAAACTTGTTTTGAAAGCAAAGAAAAAGGCTCCTAGCTGCTGCTGTTGAGGAAAGCTTGAAAACATGAGCTGTCTAATGAGGAGGCACCGATACGTTTTTGGGTCCTTCGGCTTGGAGTTGTACTGTGTGTGCAGCCTTGCAGCGCTTGGGGCATCACCGGGTCTCTGGAGTATTGGGCTGGGGCTGGGCTGGGAGCTGCACAGCTCCTCTGCGGTGGCAGGCGCTGGAGCCCTGTGGGAGGGCTGCAGCTCATCCGGGAGAGGGGCTGGGGCACGGGGAGCTGGCGGGCCTTTCCTCTCAGCTGCTGCGGTGTTACGGACCCGCTGAGCCTATTTCTTGGACACCTCTCTGACAAAGACCTTGCTTGAGTCATTTACTGTAATGTCCCCTGAGGCCACTAAAGATGTGTTTGATTTGAAATGGAATGTAGTTGGAGCAGTTGGCCTTGCTGCTGTAATAATGATTTTCGGCATGATATTCAGCGTATTTCTGTGCTGTGCTATCCACCACAACTGCTCCAAGAGCTACAAATCCAAGAACCGCTGCACTAGAGAATCTTTTATCTTTTTTTTTTTTATTATTATTTTACAGATGCAGCAGTTGGCACAGCAGTTTTTGCAGAAGGGCACGAAGAAGGGGGCATCAGCTGAATTAGTGTCACCGTGACAGTCTCAGATACGGTGGTGACACACCACAGGATGGTTTCTCCAGCAGGTGTTGGAGCAGCTGTCCCTGCTTGGGCAGAGGCTCCAACGCAGACCCAGCCTCAGACAGCGGACGCAGCCCTCTGAGCCCCAGGCTGCAGCGAGTGCCCAGGGCCTCTCTGGCACCAAAGACGTGGCCTTCAGTCCTGCAGAAGGTATGCCCTCTTGGAGGAGCTGTGCCACCAAGTGGAGGAGTTACAGGAGGAAGTGAGCAGGCTGCGCAGCATCAGAGAAGATGAAGGAAGATAGACAAGATCTTCTCTGAGACAAAGCTCAAAGAGCTTCCAGCCCCAACTGAAGTAGAGAAGCAAGCAGTGTCCACCCCTAACATTAAGGTAAGTACAGCCTCTGGAGAAGGTGAGAGATGGAAGCTTCTGACACCAAGAGGGAGGGTCCTGCTCCCTGGGAGGACTTAGAGCTACAAATAAGTTCACCTTCCTCAAGACTGAAGAGGAGCCAGATGTGCTCCACCCTGATATCTGCTAGAGTGATACACAGCAGGACATAAGTAATCCAGGAGGTTCCTGGAGTGTATTGACAGTAACTTCCTCCTCCAAGTGATAAAGCAGGAAACAAGAAGAGATGCTCTGCTGGACCTCATACTCGCCAACAATGAGGAGATCTTTGGGCATGTGAAGCTCAAAGGCAGCCTTGGCTGCAGTGACCATGAGATGGTGGAGTTCAGGACCCTGAGGGGGGAAGGAGGGTAAAAAGAAAGCTCATAACCCTGGACTTCAGGAGAGTGGACTTTGACCTCTTCAAAGATCTTGGGCTCGTCAAAGAGCACCCATGAGTGCAGAGGGAGCTGGCAAGAGTCATTGCAAGGCCGCTCTCAACAATCTTTGATTGATCATTGTGACTGGGAGAAGTGCCCAAAGCCTGAAGGAAAGGAAATGTCACTTCTATCTTTAAGAAGGGCAAGGAGGAGGACCCAGGGCCAGTCAGCCCCACCTCGATCCCTGGGAAGGTGATGGAGCAGCTAATCGTGGAAACCATTTCCAGACACACAGACAAGAAAATCATCAGGAGTATTCAGTATGGCTTCACCAAGGGAAGGTCATGCTTGACCAATTTGATAAACTTCTATGATGAAATGACTGGCTTGGTCGATGAGGGGAGAGCAGTGGATATTGTCTAAATGGACTTCAGGAAGGCCTTTGGCATTGTGTCCCACAACATCCTCATAGACAAGCTGTTGAAGCATGGGCTGGATGAGCAGACAGCGAGGTGGATTGAAGCCTGGCTGAATGGCTGGGCCCAGAGGGTGGTGGCACGAAGTCTAATTGGGGGTCAGCAGTGGGTCCAGTCCCGTTTAACATCTTCATTAATGATCTGGGTGATGGGGCAGAGTGTACCCTCTGCAAAACTGGAAGGAATGGCTGATAAACCAGAGAGTCAAGCTGCCATCCAGAGGGACCTTTACAGGCTGGAGAAACGGGCTGACAGGAACCTCATAAAGTTCAGTGAGACATTCAAAGTGCTGCACCTGGGGAGGAACAATCTCACACACCAGTAAACGCTGCGGGCCACCCAGCTGGAAAGCAGCTTGGCACAAAAGGACCTGGAGGTCATGGTGGACACCAAATTGAACACGAGCCAGCCACGTGCCTTTGCCAGAAAGAAAGGCTAACGGCATCCTAGCCTACATCTGGCAGAGTGTTGCTAACAGGTCAAGGGGGGTGATCCTGCCCCTCTACTCAGTGAGGCCACACCTGGAGTGCTGTGTCCGGTGCTGGGCTCCCCAGTAAGAGAGATGTGGACATAGTGGAGAGAGTCCAATGCAGGGCCACGAAGATGATGAACAGACCGGAGCATCCCATGTATGAGAAAAGGCTGAGAGAGCTGGGACTTTTTTTAGCCTGGAGAAGAGAAGGCTCTGGGGGGATCCTATCAATGTCTGTAAATACAGGCAAAGAAGCCCGGCTCTTTCCAGTGGTGCCCAGTGACAGGACCAGAGGCAACGGGCATAAACCGAAACGCAGCACCTCCACGCCTCAGGAAACACCTTTTTTACTGTGAGGAAGACCTCGCACAGGTTGCCTAGAGAGGTTGTGGAGTCTCCAGCCTTGGAGATGCTCCGAAGGCGCCTGGTCGTGGTGCTGGGCTGCAGGTGACCTGGTGGAGCAGCGAGGTTGGCCCAGCCGAACTCCGGCGGCGGGGATGTGAAGTTGACCTGAGGAGA